ATAGTTTGTAGACGCTATAACTTTCACACAAAGCAATCAATATACACTTATTGGGATTTTTTTACCAAAAACATGTAGCAGAATACATTTTAGCCTAAATTTATAAATAACTTTGAGTTTACTATATATTTTTTATAGCTGAAAGTAAAAAATATTGTTTTTCTTCAAAATTTTTGCTCTTTTTTTGTTTATAGCGTGAAAAATAAAAAGCGCACAGGTGATCAAATACCACCTAAAGAAAGCTCTATTTGTGTGAAAAAAGGACATAAATTTCGTTTGGGTGCAGCATTGCATGACCGTGCAATTATCATTTGAATTAGTGCAGCGCAGAATAGCAAAAAGAGGCCTGGTCATTAAGGGGGGTAAATCCTCAGGAGGGCAAGTGGTTAAAGTGGTTGTAAACCCTTACATATAGCCATTGAAGTGACTGGCCTCAGGTGATACCCAGAGATTAAACAAATCCTCCTATGTAAATTGTACCTGTGTATCTGCAGTATTCTTTTCTCTACATCCGTTCAAAGTGCTGAATTTTTAAAGCTTGTCTGAGAGTTTAAAAAAGGGGGCGGAGAGTTGAGATTACACTCTGCAGAGCTCAGTGAGGAGAGCTCTGAGAGCTAACAGGAACAGAGCTGAGGCTGTCAATCTGCTTGAGGTCCCTCCCCTGTCCATATTATTTTATTAGTGTCAGGAAATTACACCTAGTACTTTTAATTGAGACAAGTAAGCACTATAGAGGTATATGTTTTGTTCATATTTCATGTCTGAGGTTTACAACAACTTTACACTATAATCCATAATGTATACATTTTGCCCTCAGTGGCCAGTCTTCAGTTTATGTGCATTAACTGTTAAGTACCCTTGCATTTTACCAGGTACTACTACTGTACATGTCACTGTTATGTGATAAAACTGCTCAGAAAATCTGTCATGCTGATAAGCTGCAATTCCCTGCACTATTCTTCAATGCTACCTTTAATATATTTTATGGATGGATGACTGTGGTCCTCCAATGCGCCAACTTTAATAATATGGACACATTTGCAAATATACATACAGTATATATATATATACATACATATATACACACACACTATATTGCCAAAAGTATTGGTCGGCCTGCTTTACACGCTCATGAACTTTAATGGCATCCCAGTCTTAGTCCATAGGGTCCAATATTGAGTTGGCCCACCCTTTGCAGCAATAACAGCTTCAACTCTTCTGAGAAGGCTGTCCACAAGGTTTAGGAGTGTGTCTATGGGAATGTTTGACCATTCTTCCAGAAGCACATTTGTGAGGTCAGGCACTGATATCAGACGAGAAGGCCAGGTTCACACTCTCCACTTTAATTCATCCCAAAGGTGTTCTCTCAGGTTGAGGTCAGGAGTCTGTGCAGGCCAGTCAAGTTTTCCACCCCAAACTCGCTCATCCATGTCTTTATGGACCTTGCTTTGTGCACTGGTGCGCAGTCATGTTGGAACAGGAAGGGGCCATCCCCAAACTGTTCCCACAAAGTTGGGAGCATGAAATTGTCTAAAATGTCTTGGTATGCTGACACCTTAAGAGTTCCCTTCACTGGAACTAAAGGGCCAAGCTCAACCCCTGAAAAACAACCCCACACCATAATCCCCCCTCCACCAAACTTTACACTTCGCACAATGCAATCAGGCAAGTACTGTTCTCCTGGGAACCACCAAACCCAAACGTCCATCGGATTGCCAGACATAGAAGTGTGATTTATCACTCCAGAGAACATGTCTCCACTGCTCTAGAGTCCAGTGGCGGCATGCTTTACAACACTGCATCTGATGCTTTGCATTGCACTTGGTCATGTCTTGGATGCAGCTGCTCGGTCATGGAAACCCATTCCATGAAGCTCTCTACACACTGTTGTTGTGGTAATCTGAAGGCCACATGAAGTTTGGAGGTCTTTAGCTATTGACTCTGCAGACAGTTGGCTAATTCTGTGCACTGTGTGCTTTAGCATGTGCTGACCCTGCTCTGTCATTTTACGTGGCCTACCACTTCGTGGGTGAGCTGCTGTTCCGAGTTGCTTCCACTTTGTTATAATACCACTAACAGTTGAATGGAATATTTAGTGAACCTATCACAGTACCACACTTGAATTGACTAAGCTCCTTAGAGCAACCCATTCTTTCACAAATGTTTGTAGAAGCAGTCTGCATGCTTAGGTGCTTGATTTTATACACCTGTGGCCATGGAGGTGATGGGAACACCTGAATCCAATGATTTGGAGGGCTGGCCCAATACTTTTGGCAATATAGTGTATATCTATGTTCAAAAGTTTATATACCCTGGCAGAAATCATGAAATTTTGGCATTGATGTTGAAAATATGACTGATCATGCCAAAAACATTTTTTTTAAATCTTTTATTTAAGGATAGTGATCATATGAAGCCATTAATTATCACATACTGTAGTTGTTTGGCTCCTTTTTAAATCACAATAACAGAAATCACTCATATGGCCCTGACCAAAAAATGTACATAACCTGAAATGCTTAGCCTTGGTACAGACACACAAGGTGACAAACACAGATTAAATGGCAATTAAAGGTTGATTTCCTACATCTGTGGCTTTTTAAATTACAATTAGTGCCTGTGTATAAATAGTCAATGAGTTTGCTAGCTCTCACATAGATGCACTGAGCAGGCTAGATACTGAGCCATGAGGAGTTGAAAGGAACTGTCAAAAGACCTGCATAACAAGGTAATGGAACTTTATAAAGATGGAAAAGAATATAAAAAGATATCTAGAGCCTTGAATATGCCAGCCAGTAGTCCAAGAAAGATTGCAGCCACAACTGCCAAAAGAATTGTTCTGGATACAAAGAAAAACCCACAGGTAACCTAAGGAGAAATACAAGCAGCTCTGGAAAAGAGGGTGTGGTTCATTTAAGGAGAAAAATACGATTGAACAAAAATTAGCTGCATGATCAAGTTGCCAGACAGAAGCCTTTACTGCTCTAATGCCACGAAAAAGCCTGGTTACACTATGCCTGACAACACCTTGACACGCCTCACAACTTCTGGCACACTGTAATCTGGAGTGGCAAGACCAATATAGAGTTTTATGGTCTCAACCATAAGCTCTATGTTTGGAGAACTAGGACTATAGTGAAAAGAATACCATCCACACTGTGAAGCATATCCAACACAACAAACACTTTACTCCTGCGCTAGGAAAGGACTCAGTAGACCCAATAGGAATGTTCTGGAATATGCACTGCTTGCTGCCCTCAACAGACCGGGGTGGTCCAAATACACTGGATACAAATGGAGAAACAGAAAAAGGGCGCACCGACCTAGTGCATTATCATTTAAAATAATTTATTGAAGAAACAAAAATAGATATCATACTCACAATGGACATATTAACACAGGCATGTCAAACTGAACAAGATGTATGATCCAAACAACATCTGAGTCCATACGATGGAACCCTGGATGACCAACTGGCTAACGCGTTTCGAGGACACAACCTCTTCCTCAGAGCCAACCTGTGTTAATATGTCCATTGTGAGTATGATACCTATTTTTGTTTCTTCAAATAAATTATTTTAAACGATAATGCACTAGGTCGGTGTGCCCTTTTTCTGTTTCTCCATTTGTATACTGTGAAGGATGGTGGTGGTTCACTGATGTTTTGAGGAGGGGGGGGGAGCTCTAAAGGCTTGGGAAATCTTGTGAAACTTGATGCCAAGATGAATGCAGAATGGTATCAGAAACTACCGGCAGACATTTTATATTCGTGAAAGATGTGCAAGGGATGCTCTTGTACCTTCCAGCACGAAAATGACCCTAAATACAAGGCCAAGTTGACCTTCCAGTGTTTACACCAGAAAAAGGTAAAGGTTCTGGAGTGGCCATCAAGCTACTCTGGGGAGATCCCAAACATGCAGTTCATGCATGACAACCAAAGACTTTGCATGACCTGGAGGCATTTTGCCAAGAAGAATGGGCAGCTATACCAACAAGAATTCAGGGCCTCATAGACAACTATTACAAAAGACAGCACGTTGTTATTGATGCTAAACTGGTCAATACACAGTATTAAGAACTAAGGGGATGCAGACTTTTGAAAAGGGGTAATTTAATTTGTTTACTTGTTGCCATATTTTATTTTATAATTGTGCCACTCTGGTATTACCTACAGTTGAATATAAATCTCATAAAAAATAAAAAGAAATGTGTTTTGCCTGCTCACTCATCTTTTCTTTAAAAATGGTACATGCTGTATATTACCAATTCTCCAAGGGTATGCAAACTTTTGAGCACTACTGTATATTCTAAAAAAAAAATAGTCTGTATTGTACATTTTGATGTGATTCCTCTCCATCTGTAAACATTATTCCTTTTTTGGCTATTCAAGAAAATTCCAATGTCTGGAAAAGTATCCATGTCAATGCCTTAATATGTTTTATTTGTTTTGGTGAAACGTATCTATATTTGCAACTTCTTTAAATTTTTCTTTATTTTGATGATAGGTAGAACAATGCTGTCATTTTTGTCCTTTACTTTGCTACTTGTTGCTTTTAAAATGGTCACATTGCTCAACAAGTGCTCTTGGGTCCTTTCACACGGTGTGGAGTGCTCTCAAATCAGCAGGTGATCCATGAGCAGTTCCTATGTTGAATCAGAGCTGAACGGGACAAATATGACAGCTCTGTGGAAGGCTGGGTATAAACGGACTCTGGCATCCGTTTACATCAGGCTACCTCTGATCTGTCATGTCCATTTAAATCCAACTGTCCATAGGGCTGCAAGGGGCATCAGAATCAGAATGCCCATGTGAAAGTGGCCTAAGAGGAAAGACTCCACAATATGAAAGCAAAAGAAATAATCTGCACAACTTATCAAGTGTGATCTCTGGCACTTTTTGTTTATATTTTCTGTCTGAACTGTAGTATTCTATAGAAATATTGTTATATGTAAAATAAAATGTTATGTATTTTCTATTGTACTAACCTGATGATGCTTTTAGGTGTTTAGTTGGAGACCCAAGTGGGCGCAGTTATGGGGATGTTGCATTTTTGGAGCACCACTCACTCCTAAATAACATAGCAAGTAAGAAGTTTCATCTCCATCTTTTGAATATTAAGCCATGAACACTTTAACCTTTTAGCCCTCTTTTCAAACCTTCTGCTCATTATTAATGCTAAGAGAACATAATGCAACACATGTTTTGCTATAGATATGGAATCTTCTGGTTGGGCTTATGGCTATAGTGCTTCAGACTTTGAGCTGTTGTGTCCTAATGGTGAAAGAGTCCCACTGACAGAATGGGAGTCCTGTAATTTGGGTGTGATCCCACCCAGTGTAGTGATGACACGCCCTGTAATTACTGCAAAGATCCAAGACTTTCTGATGAAATCCCAGGTAAGAAACCTTACTCACAAGTAATTCATACTTCACTGAAGAACTGGGTAGAGCTGAATACTTTGGCTAGTATTATTGAAAGGTTTGACCAGAACCCAACAAGATGCAGTTAGGTCCATATATATTTGGACACAGGCACAATTTTCATACTTTTGGCTCTGTATGCCACCAAAATAAATGAAAACAAAATAATCCAAATTAATTTGAAGTGCAGACTTTCAGCTTTAATTCAAAGGGTTGAACATAAATATCAAGTACAAATTTTAGGAACTGCAACCATTTTTATACATAGTCCCTCCATTTTCAGGAGCTCAAATGTAATTGGACAAATGAATATAATCATAAATAAAATGTTAATTTTTTAATATTTTTTTGAGAATCCTTTATTGTCAATGACTGCCTGAAGTATGGAACCCATGGAGATTACCAAAGACTGGGTTTCCTCCTTTCTGATGCTTTGCCAGGCTCTAACTGCAGCTGTCTTCAGTTGTTCTTTGTGGGTCTTTCTGCCTTTAGTTTTGCCTTCAGCAAGTGAAGTGCATGCTCAATTGGGTTGAGATCAAGTGATTGACTTGGCCATTGCAGAATATTCCACTTCTTTTCCTTCAAAAGCTCCTGGGTTGCTTTTGCAGTGTGTTTTGGATCATTGTCCATCTGTACTGTGAAGCACCGTCCAATCAACTTTGCTGCATTTGGCTGAATCAGGGCTGACAGTGTATCTCTAAATACTGCAGAATTCATCCGGCTGCTTCTGTCACATCATCAATAAACACCAATGACCCAGTGCCACTGGAAGCCAGGATTGGCCCATGCCATCACACTGCCTCCACCATGTTTTACAGATGACATTATGTGCTTTAGATCATAAACTGTTCCAGGCCTTCTCCACACTTTTTTCTTCCTGTTATTCTGGTACAGATTAATCTTAGTTTCATCCAAAGAATGCTTTTCCAGAACTGGTCTGTCTTTTTAGATGTTTTTTTGGCAAAGTCTAATCTGGCTTTACTATTCTTCAGGCTTATGAATGGTTTGCACCTTGTGGTGAACCCTCTGTATTTGCTCTCGTGAAGTCTTCTCTTGATTGTAGACTTTGATAATGATACGCCCACCTCCTGGAGAGAGTCCTTTACTTGTCTGGATGTTGTGAATGGTTTTTTTTTTACCACAAAGAGGATCCTGTGATCATCCACCACTGTTGTCTTCCGTGGAAGTCCATGCCTTTTTATATTGCTTACTAGTACATTCTTCTTTCCTCAGAATGTACCAAACTGTTGATTTGGCCACTCCTAATGTTGCTGCTATCTCTCTCTGATGGATTTGTTTTGTTTTTGAAGCCTTACAATGGCCTGTTTCACTTGCATGGACAGCTCCTTTGACCACATGATGTAGGTTCACAGCAATATATTCCCAATGTAAATACCACACTTAGAATCAACTCCAGACCTTTTACCTGCCTAATTGATGAAGAAATAATGAAGGAGTAGCCCACACCTGGCCAAAAACAGCTTTTGATTCAATTGTCCATTTACTTTTGGTCCCTTGAAAAAGGGGGGGGGTTGGCTACTCTTAAGAGCTGCAATTCCTAAACCCTTCCTCCAATTTGGATGTACATACCCTCAAATTAAGCCTGAGAGTGTGCACTTTCAGCCCATATCCATTATATAACTATAGCCTGAATATGTTTTGGTAAATACCTGAAAATCTTAAATTGTTCCTGTGTCCAAACATATATGGACCTAACTGTATGTATAGATGAGGTATGTATAAGGTAAAGATACAGACTAAATGTCTTGTAGAAAAAAATAATACACATAGGCAAAAAAGAGTTTTTGTATTTACTTGAAAGATTAGTAAAGTTTTAGCCTTTGATACAAATTCTAGTGTGTTTCTTGCAAATTCATACCACTGTTGTACATCAGAGCCAAAGAACATTGGGGGTGACGTGTGTGCTGGGTTGTTGGTGGGCAGTGATGTCATTGCTATCCCCCAATCCCTTTGCATAAGTGGCAGGGATTCCTAGTGACGTCAGTGGCTCCTAGGAATGCTGCAGATGCAAGCACCCATGGCTTCCTTAGGAACCAGCGACACAAATAACACTTCTACATATGATTTTTGCTTCTGCCGAAATGGATGCTCAACAGGCAAGCATCATGTTTAGACAGAACCACCAGCTAATATCTATTTGCAAGCATAATTGGTTAATTGAAATGAACACAACAAGGTATTGAGCATACCAGACTATTACCAGCAGCAAATAAATATATCCATTGGTAATCGCAGTTGGTGGGAGTAAAAAGGTGTAAACAAGTTACATAAACATGTAGCCAAATTAACAGCAAGAGGTTACAGATACCATACCATATGGACAAAGTGTCAACTGTATGCCATCTGCAATTGGTAGAGGAGCCTTTAAAAAGGACTTCTAATAAAATATTTAAAGTAGTTTTACACTTTCAAATGTTTTTGTTGTTTTAAGTAGATATTAGCGTAGTTAAAGTATATTCCCTGTTCATTTGTTTGCCTTACCCTGAAATGACGGGCTTGCATGTTATGGCTGCAGTTTTCTAGTGTCATGGCTGATTTATTCTCCCATGTCCATGTATTCATTCACCTAGCTTGTCCCTATTTACAAAAAGGGAGACGACCTATTGTTTTGGGTCACTCAGCATCCAATCGATGCTGCACCATTTCTGTTGTGTTGCATGAGAAATATGGGAGTACTAATGTGATGAAAACACATCTCTTCTCTTCATTGCTCTGCCTGCTTGTGCTTGTTTCATATCTAATTAATATGCAGTGTTTACCTGCAGAACACTAGACTGAGAGACCTAGGGATTGTGAGATTTGTAATTTTTTCACAATAGTGTCAGTTCTTAGACTACAGACAGAGGTCCTATGCGGTGTCAAGCCATGTTTCATGTTCGAACACAAACAGAAGCTTCTGGCACAGGAATGGGAAGATTTATTCTACTATAGCCTGTGTATACAGTCCAACAAATGACACCATGAAACTACATGATCAATGCACATCTTACGCAAGTAAAACACATAAGGTGCAGGTAGGAAGGTTTATCATGTCTTTAAGTTTCCTTTATACTGGTTAACACTCTAATAAAAATTTGTGTAGTTAAAAACAAGATGAAAGTAAATGTTACAAATGAAATGCTGTTTTGACTATCAAATCAAGTTTTAACTAAAGGCATATCTCTGAAATGGTTATAGATGTATGTACTTGCTGACAGCTACAGAATCTTGAAAAAGTATTCATACCCCTTGAAATTTTCCACATTTTGTCATGTTACATCCAAAAACGTAAATGTATTTTATTGGAATTTTATGTGATAGACCAACACAAAATGGCACATAATTGTGAAGTGGAAGGAAAATTATAAATGGTTTTCAAATTTTTTTACAAATAAATATCTGAAAAGTGTGGCGTGCATTTGTATTCAGCCCCTTTTACTCTGATACCCTAACTAAAATCTAATAGAACCAATTGCCTTCAGAAGTCACCTAATTAGTAAATAGAGTCCACCTGTGTGTAATTTAATCTCAGTATAAATACAGCTGTTCTGTGAAGCCCTCAGAGGTTTGTTAGAGAACATTAGTGAAAACAGCATCGTGAAAGCACGCACCAGGCAGGTCAGGGATAAAGTTGTAGAGAAGTTTAAAACAGGGTTAGGCTATAAAAAAATATCCCAAGCTTTGAACATCTCACGGATCACTGTTCAATCCATCATCTGAATATGGAAAGAGTATGGCACAACTGCAAACCTTCCAAGACATGGCCACTCACCTAAACTGACAGGCCGGGCAAGGACAGCATTGAACAGTGAAGCAGCCAAGAGGCCTATGGTGACTCTGGAGGAGCTGCAGAGATCTACAGCTCAGGTGGGAGAATCTGTCCACAGGACAACTATTAGTGGTGCACTCCACAAATCTGGCCTTTATGGAAGAGTGGCAAGAAGAAAGCCATTGTTGAAAGAAAGCCATAAGAAGTCCTGTTTGCAGTTTGCAAGAAGGCATGTGGGGGGCACAGCAAACATGTGGAAGAAGTTGCTCTGGTCAGATGAGACCACAATGTAACCTTTTGGCCTATAAGCAAAACGCTATGTGTGGCAGAAAACTAACACTGCACATCACCCTGAACACAACATCCCCACTGTAAAACATAGTGGTGGCAGCATCAAGTTGTGGGGATGATTTTCTTCAGCAGGGACAGGGAAGCTGGTCAGAGTTGATGGGAAGATGGATGGAGCCAAATACAGGGCAATCTTAGAAGAAAACCTGTTGGAGTCTGCAAAAGACTTGAGACTGAGGTGGAGGTTCATCTTCCAGCAGGACAATGACCATAAACATACAGCCAGAGCTACAATGGAATGGTTTAGATAAAAGCATATTTATGTGTTAGAATGGCCCAGTCAAAGTCCAGACCTAAATCCAATTGAGAATCTGTGGCAAGACTTGAAAATTGCTGTTCACAAACGCTCTCCATCCAATCTGACGGAGCTTAAGCTATTTTGCAAAGAAGAATGGGCAAAAAGTTCACTTTCTAGACATGCAAAGGTTTGAGGCAAACCTAAAAAGACTTGCAGCTGTAATTGCAGTGAAAGGTGGTTCTACAAAGTATTTACTCAGTGGGGCTGAACACAAATGCACGCCACACTTTTCACATATTTATTTTTAAAAATTTTTGAAAACCATTTATAATTTTACTTCCACTTCACAATTTTGTGGCACTTTGTGCTGATCTATCACATAAAATCCCAATAAAATACATTTACATTTTGGTTGTAACATGACAAAATGTGGAAAATTTCAAGGGGTATAAATAATTTTTCAAGGCACTGTAATTGTCCATATCATCCTGCAGTTTAGGAAATGATTGTACACAAAAAAATAGAGTTATGCTTTTAAGTAGAATAGCAAAGGTGTTTACCTAGTTTTCATGTACAGTATGTATAATCCTTAATAAGTATATACTCAAATGATATTGTACTGCCTAGATATTTTACATATTGTTTGCCCTTTTTCCTAGCAATTCCTAAAAACAAATGAAGACTCCACTTTTCAACTTTTTAAGATGGCAAAACCTAATGAAGAGGGTGATCTGCTTTTCAAAGACTCAGCTACTTGTCTTTTGCCAGTTGGACTCCATACACTTCAGGATATCCTAGGAGAAAGTTTCATGCAGCTTGCTGACGATGTCTTTGACTGCACCAATGCAGGTATTCAATTCTATTGTATTTAAAATATATTGCAGTTTATTTACTAAAGGGGTAGAGACTGTTAAGGGTAGAGAGAGTGTAAAGTTGATGCTCACTTTGCAAAGTGTATATTCACTTAGCTTAGTGAAAAAAGTAAAGCCATGCTTCTTTTTTGGACCCTTTTGGGGTCTAGTGCATTTTTGATGCATTTTAATGCATACCGGTGCATTTTTTAAGTGCGTTTTACCATGTTCTGGTGCGTTTTTGGTGCCTTTTACCACGTTCCAGTACAGTTCTGTGCAAGAAAAATACAGCATGTTCTACTCTTTTTTTTTTTTCTGGAACTGGAGCACACTGGAACTGCAAGCACTGGTGTGAACCATGCCATTGACAACCATGTAACCTGCTTTCTGTGCGTTTTGGATGCAGAAAAAAAATACACTGGCCTGCATGTAGTGTGAACCAGCCCTAAGCATCTGGGGCAATTTTCTAATTTTTCACACACATTAAAATTTGCATTGTTGCTGTAAAAATCCTAAAAGTCTCAAACAATTATATATTGTTTGAAAGCAAAGGTTCTGAAGAATAAAGTTAGTAGATGTTGGCAGTTGCAATTTTTGTATGCAGCATGATATTTAGCAAAAAAAATTAGTGCACTTAAACACATTATAATATACAGAATTTGGTAAAATATAAAAGATAGGGTTACATTGAGTAAATAGATACCAAACAGCTCAAGCCCCATCTTAAAAAAGGTTACCACTGTTTCGGGCACCCCGGAGGAATGTAAAAGTCCAGTAACCACGGCAGTAGGAGGCTCTGCAACTGCAGTTGTGAGCTTGCTTTAATCACTGGAGACCTCACTGTTTTTTAAATGGCTTATGTTATTTAACCGCTTTCCCGACACCCTATAGCAGATATACTTATACAGAGTGTCAGGGGTGCGCAAAATCACGTATATATGTGATTTTGCATTTCCGGGTAGGGGGTGCGTGCGAGCACCGCATGTGCCCTACCCGCGCCACCATTTGTGGCCGTCAATCACCGGGTCCTGGCCGGTGATTACCAAGCATCTCTGACAGGGAGGAGGACTGTTTTGTGGCACAGCACAGCCATCCAGAGCAGTGTGATTACAGTTAAGTACACTGACACTGCCCACCAGTAAAACACTCCCTGCACACAGTTAACCCTTTGATCGGCCCTCATGTTAACCCCAGTGCCGTTAGTACAGTGTCAGTGCTTTTGATGTCAGTGACACCAAGTCAGTTCCTCCCAGTATCAGAATGTCCGCCGAAGTCCCGCTATAAGTTACTGATTGCCATCATTACTAGTAAAAAAAATAAAAATCCAGTATCTATACCGCCATTTGTAAACGCTATAACTTTCACATAAACCAATTAATTTACACACATATTGGGATTTTTTTTTTAGGAAAGACATCTAATACATTTTGGCCTAAATTTATGACGAAATTTGATTTTTTAAATTTTTTTACTGGATATGTTTAATAGCAAAAAGTAAAAAATATTGTTTTTTTTTTTTTTCTCAAATTGTCGGTCTTTTTTTTTTTTTCTATAGTGCAAAAAATAAAAAAAATGCACAGGCGATCAAATACCATCGAAAGAAAGCTCAATTCATGTGGGAAAAAAAGACGTAAATTTAATTTGGGTGCAGTGCTGCATGACCGCGCAATTGTCAGTTAAAGTAACGCAGCGCTGTAATACAAAAAATGGCCTGGTCAAGAAGGGGGTAAATCATCAGGAGGTCAAATGTTTAAGAGGTTAAACAGAATACTACCATATTTTGTATCAGAGGACCAACAAGGTTTTTTTTAACAGTTTAAAGTTTAAAGCCTTTAACATTGGATGCTTATTTTGTGCCAGTGCAAACAGCAGTTATGTCAGATTGATAAAAAATACTTGTAAATGGTGGTTATGAGTTACTGCAAATACTACATAATAGAAATTAATTCCTAAAAAGAGGCATTTAAAAACCTAATGTCTAATGATCGTAGAAGGTGTCAAAGGTATGCCTAATAAAAGTATTTTTGTACACAACCTAAAATCCTTTTCTTGGAGTTCATTGGGGGACATGGGATTCAGAGAAATTAGTTATACTGCTGCCTACAGGGGGATTTGGACAATGACAAACAAGAATACTGTGACCAGCTTGATCTAACCCCTCCCAATCCCAGCATGTCTCAGGTTTATAACAAAGCAGTACTGGGAGCAAGACCACAAAGGGATAAACACAGAGGGATAGAGCCTCTGTTCCACCCTGAACTCCAACAAAAGGATTTATGGGGAGTATAAAAATCCTATTGTCTTTGTTGTTCATTGAGGAATACAGGATTCAGAGACATTTGGGATGTTCAAAAGCAGTCCAACTGATGGGGTGGCAACACAGTAAACAAAACATTAACAGACCCACTAAAAAAACAAAAGAAAAAACAATTTGAGGGCTGTCTTTAGCTCAAAGACCTGCCTGAAGGATCATATGTCTGAAGCCGGCATCAGATGAGGCATGAATATCTATGTAGTAAAACTTAGAGAACATGTGAACAAAAGAACAGGTGGTAGCCTGGAAAATTTGGGAAATAGCTGTCTGATTCTGAATAACCTAAGAAGCACTCACAGAACTAGTAGAGTGTGCCTTGCCATTAAAGGTTAGAGCCTGATGTGACGGTATGCGGCGTCAGACACCAGCCCTTCTCACCAACTTGTGACCGAAGGACCAGCCGATCTCACACCGCGCCATCACTTGCGTAACAATGCCACTCTCAGCTGTGCTGTTCACAAAGATTTTCCAGCTCCAGGATCCACAATCTATGTGCCAGCAGTCTGAGAGCGATTGTTACTGGGTCAGATTAATTACGCAATTAACCCTTCACACTGCCACCACCACCTTTTTACAGAGAAGGAGGAAACTCACAAATCTTAGCAGTAACACTAGGATATTAGTAAAAGTGTCTGTAATACACACTGTCACCACAGACAGATATATTCAGAGAATTATTACATACAGTAGCACTCTTCAGAAACAGGGATTCTTTAGTTGGCATTAAAAGCTTTAGAGACAGTTTCAACACTTTTCAGAAATTAGGATTTAGTAGGTCAAATGGTGCAATAAAATATTTACAGAAAAAGATGTAACAAAGATATAAACAGAGCAATAAAACAACAGAGAAATAAAAGAAAGAAGTTCAGAAGGCAGCATACTTGCAAAAGTCCTTGGTTTGAGCAGAGTCCAATCGTCCGAACAAAGGCTGCTCTGGCTCTCAAGTGTGTTAGGTGGTTCCTGATCGATGTTAAAAGGAGAGCTAATTTTTCTCTAAGCTGTCAGTCTTTTTCTATCATCTCAAAGGGGTGTCTGCTGAGAACAAATGACCAATCGTCCAGTTTGGGGATGGGTGTTAGGCGGTAACCAAGGTTATGACCAAATCCCTTCCAAGTTCATACTAAGGTCAATAACCTTCAATAGGTACAGGTAGCATCCTAGCAACTGGCAGATTAATATTTAGAATTATATTCTAAACGCACAGATACCAAATTTAGCATATCTTTGACACTCCGGATAAAAGAGACTGCTTTATTTTCTTTTGTAGGTGCTAACCTAGGGATGTAAGGTGTCATGTGACTCATATTAAAATGACCTATCAGAATATATATACTTCATATCAATGTGCCCACTTTCTGCTGAAGTGTATGAATTTGTATGAAAAATGACTCATGTGGAATGTATGTTTTATGGCAGACTCTAGCTCTAATGGCCTAGCAGGTCATGACTGACTGAGTTATTGTTTTTTGATCGGGCAGAGGAAAGTGGTTTTTCAAAGAAGATCCCCTGGGACCAGACTAATTAGTGGTTTACAGCCATGGAGCTCATCTAGCTGTGTTTTAGATAAGAGGCATTTTTGAACTCCGTTCACTTACAGCCTCACATTCCATTCAAAAGGGAGGAGGGAGGACAGAGACAACATGGCCGCGACCTAACAAGATGGCTGTCAGTGTCCATGTCTCTATTTCGCACAATCGTCACACCTGATCAAAAAACCATAGGCTCGTACAATAATCTGTCTGAGCTACTGAGAAATAGTGGAACGAGAAGCTGGTTCCTTTTTGTGGAGACTTTCTGGGTTGGCAAAGAGAGAGTCCATTTCCTAATGAAAGCAGTAGCTGCGAGCTGAGAGTTACAGCACAAACGACATCTAGACCAGCCTTTCTCAATTGGGGTGCCACCAGAGGTCCTCAGGGGTGCCGTGGCATCCTGGTAGAGAAAAGCTGTCGGATGAGTCTGAGCTCCCGATCCCCAGCCGAGCTGTTCTTCAGCAGTGAGGGAGCTCTCTCAGACTGTTGAGTACACTCAGCAAAGTGAAAGCAAAGGAAGAAGAGTCTGCTGTGCTCTCTGCCTCCCCCTACAGTGCACTACCAGGCTGTGTGAAGGAAGCTACTGTACTGCAAATTTTTAAAGGGCTTTATACATGTTAGTGTGTGGATGTGTGTCCTTTTTTGTGTGTGTGTGTGTGTGTACGCGTGTCCTTTTTGTGTGTGTGTCTGTATGTGTGTGTGTGTGTACATGTATGTGTGTCTGTGTGTACATGTGTCCTAGTGTACGTGTGTGTGTGTGTCTGTATGTATGTGTGAGTGTGTGTACACATGTGCTTGTACGTAAATTACTTTTAATCCTGACCTCCTATTCCTGTACTATCAGAACTGCTTTTTTTAGGGCTTGTTCATAGCAGCCAGGACTGCTGCTCCTCTGTAAAGCAATCCATGCACAGATCGCTTTTCTGAGGCACTTGACAGGTGGTAAAGAGGCAATATGTTGCTTCTTCACCACCTGCTTTAACCCTGCAAATGCTGTAAATGCAGCATTACCACACTGCAACCGTGTGCAATGCACACAGTTGCGGGTCGATTGCAGTGCAGCCCCATTCAGCTGGAGGTATATTTCCAGACGCAGCCACATCATGTGTACACCCCCAGCTCCTGCCTCTGCAGCTACAGCTGGAGAAGTTGAGGGTGGAAAACAAACAGCTTAACTGCGTGTTTTACCACCCCCAACGTCATGTGAATAAGCCCTTAGTTCACATCTATGTGGCTGCGTGTAGGGCAGCCCATTCATTTCAAGGGGCTGCCCTATCCACAAAAATATTTTAAAATTGTGCTGCACCAAAAACACACCACATTTGCCAATGTGCGGGGTATAATTAATGGTACCCTTAAAGGGCAGAGCATTTGTCTGCGTGTCAGGAAAGGGTGTGATTTTGCATGCCATCTGCGACAAACAGTGACCTGAACCAAGACTTGGACAGGGGTCCGTCAAGACTGAAAATACTTATCAGGGGCACCCTGACTGAGAAAAGGTTTGGAAACACTGATCTAGACCACAATTTTTCAACCTTTTTTCTAGTCCAGGCACCCTTTAAAATTATGAACAATTTTCGAGCCACCCCTAATAGTTTTACATACTACAGCAGCATCCACACACGTAGGGCACCCAACATTAGAAATAATTTATTCTTTCAAAACAAATACACTTTTGCACACTGGTACTGACTAGTATTCCAACATTTATTCTACCTTGTTTTCTCTCCACCATAGAGCTAATCCCAGTGCTGATAGAGGGGGGTGGGGGATCAAACAAGGATGCTGTGGGACGCTGGTGGCTGGCCCACATGGTGCCCAAGGTTGTAATGTTGCACAATGAAAAACTATGGCTTTTGGGTAACAAAAGGCAAGCTCGATCTCCTTCCCACAATTTTTGGGCAATTTTTACATATTTTGTCAAGGCACCCTTGAAGAACCCAGAAAGCACCCTGGTTGAGAAAGGCTGATCTAGACAATAAAGGGAAATCCTTCTGATGTACTAGAGCCAGACAGAGAGATGAAACTGTCCTGGCTAAGATGAAAAGGCTGATGCCACCTTAGAAAGGAAAGGCCTTAACACTACCTTGTCTCTACTTCTAGTCTTAGGGTTCTAGGGTACTTCCTAAAGAGTTGGTTCTGGCCAGCTCAATAGTTAGTTTTTCAAAAAGGCCTGGATTCTTTCCGAATTGTACATAATATAACTGGATACTAATATTTATAGATAAAGTTTATCCAGGGAATATCCGATTACCACTTGCGGAATCAGGAAGGAATGTTTTCCCCTGCTGGAGCAATTTGGATCAAGCTTTATTGTTTTTTTTTTTTTGCCTTCCTCTGGATCAATTGTGGGTATAGGATTGTATACATTTTTTTTCCCTTTTAATGGTTGAACTAGGTGAACATGTGTCTTTTTTTCAACCTGACAAACTATGTAAGTCTTTAAAAGATCAAGCTGCCAGTTCAGACACGCACTTGACAGTGGTGATGACAACAAGAAATAACAACTTTGTAAATAAGTGTAGAAAGGGGAAATGTCCATAATAGGTTTGAGGGACAGTATCTGAAGTACTAAAATAACCAAATTCAACAGTTAGAGGTACAAGGGAATGTGAGGATCCCTGTATGTCTCTGCAACATGATTGCAGGTGCTGGGATTTGACTCTTGATCGTACTGAATCACTGATTCAAAGAGGCCTCTGTTCCTCAACACCTAGGCTTCAACAGCCGTGCTATTAAAGCCAGTGGCCATGAACCAAGATGGTAAACTGGTTTTGGGATAAAGATCCTTACTATCTGGAAGGGCCCAATGAGTGTCTTCCAGGAGTCTGATCCCGTTGAAATACCACTAGGTACTTTAGATGACTAGGTCCCCAAATTTTGTAATCTGGATCTGTTAAATGCCCTGTGACCAACATAGTACACAAAGGTCTGGAAATCTACACAATGAAGACCAGTGCCTGAGGGTAACATTCCAGGCAGGCCCCGCTATTATCTATAACTTGTGGGGTCTGGGTAGGCTATTGTTGTAGATATGCCGATCCGGAAAGCTGCATAAAGTGACTAGATCACGCAGCATCTTCAGCAAGTCTTGACTGCTGAAAAAATATTGAGAAAAGGAAAAGCATGACTAGTAGAATTATTACATTTTTCTCAGTAAAGAAAGGACATCCACCTTTTTAAGAAACTAGCAAAAAAAAGGAGGCAAGTTTGGAAGTGGGAGGCATTATGCCAGATCTCTGTATTTTTAACCTGATAGTATTTAAATCCTCCAGCAGCATAACCCAAATGTCTATGAACCCTGTGTCCCTCATGGAAAAGATAGAAACAATTGTTTTTTTTTTTCTTGGCTTATGATAAATTCTAACTATTCATTTTTCCAGGTATCTTGGATTTCTGCAATACAGACATTTGTGCAGACACCAGGAATTAGTATGCTTCTTCCAATAATGTAAATATTTTGGTTTGTAAACTCCCATGTCAAAAAAATATTGCAATCATTTTTGTATTGTTCCCACTTGCAAGGCTAAATGAATGGCTAATTAGTACGAAAAAAAAAATGGTTCATATTAAAAAGAATGAAAGCAAACTACATATGAGACCTCAATAAAAAATATGTGTATATCCTGCACTGGCAGACAAAAAAACATGCTCAAAAAAACAAAGTATTTTGCAGCTAATCCACTGTCATATGTTCCAACAGCAAAACAAACAAATTATAATAAAAAGTGCAGTGCAATAATCGATCTATATCAAATATTCAATATGAAACGTGGTGTACATGTGGTCTGTGCTATATATCAAAATATAATCATAAAAGTGAACCAATGAATCTTATGCAAAATAAATATCATCAATAAAAAAAAATTAATCATCACCACCGTGCCCATGTGATTATTTGCAAATATTCACATACTGTATATCCCCAGATACATGCAAACATATTTGTTTTATATATCACAGTTCGTTTCTCCAGAGATATCCTACAAACCAGTCTGAAATTGTTTTTGTCCTGTACCACTATATTGAACAACACCACCTGCTGTGCAAACCGCTTACCTAAATCTCTGACCAACTAAAAAGTCAGGTCAGTCTGCTCTTGCCCTTAAGTCAGAGTAGGTATTGTATCCAATGGCATGTCCAGATTCATCAACCAGCGGTCTCAGCTCTTCCTCCTCTGGTCAGCACTCTCTCCCAGCAGTCACTCAAGAAAGCATACACAGCCTCTCATAGTGCAATATTGTAAATAAACCATCCCTTTAACCACTTCCTGTCCGGACACTTTTACCCCTTCCTGTCCAGGGCAATTTTCAGCTATCAGCGCTATCACACTTTGAATGACAATTTGCGCGGTCATGCAACACCCATATGAATTTTTTACCATTTTTTTGAGACAGATAAAGCTTTATGATGGTGGTATTTATTCACCGCTGGGATTTTTATTTTTTTTTGCTATGTAAATGAAAATGTCCAAAAATTTGGAAATAAAGTGTTTTTCTTATAAAATTTTGCAAATAAATAATCTTTCATCATAAATCTTGGCCGAAATGTATTACGTTATCTTTTTAGTAAAAAAAAAAAAAAAAAAACCAAATTAGTTTATAACCAAAAATTATAATTTGTAAACACTTTTTTTACATTTTTATTTTATTTTTTTATATTATTATTTTTTTTATTTTTTTTTTTTTTTAATACTGTCACCCTAGCAGTACAGTGTCACCATGGTGACACTGTACTACTTGTGGGGGGTGATGAATTTTTTTTTTTTTTTTACAGTGATTGCTTTTACACCCATATAGGATGTAAAAGCAATCATTTCTCTTTCTCTCTGTCTGCATTCTTGCAGCCATTGAGAACTACTGAGTGAACTGTGATTGGTCACAGCTTGTCACATGGTACAAGGCTGTTGTGAATAGCCTTGTACCATGTGACCTCTGTGATCATTCACAGATTTCACACGTAGTAAGCAATGATGTCACAAGTGACATCTTGCTTACTACTTTGCATGTGATCACTGACTGGCCAATCAGTGATCACATGATCAGGACCTCGTACAGAGGTCCCATCCGACGATCGGTGTTTCACTGTGTCCAGAGGACACAGCGGGCACCGGATCGCGGTGCTGCGCGCTCCCAGGGAGTGCGTACAGCTAGAAATGGCGGGTGCCGTTTATGAACGGCAACCCGCCCGTGGAGTGCCACCGTCCTGTCGTTTATAAACAGCAGGCGGACGGAAAGTGGTTAATAAACATGCTTATATAAAAACACTCACAAAATAAGTGCACTTTAAATCTAGTGCAAAAAGTAAATCGCTTTTTTAAATGATCTCATGTTGCCCCCTTTAGGATAAGCATCACCTTTAGTGTATACGCATAACCTCGGCATATATCTGTTCCTGGGTGTGATGATGTCACGTGGCTCCACCCCTAACACATTTTGTCACGTGACCTGTGATGCTTCTCCCACTTGCCGACCACAATACGTATATATACACAGCTGCAGCCAGTGGTTTACCAGGGATATGGCTGAAGATATCAGCCATAACCCCGGTATCTTTTTTTTCAGCAGGTGGATGGCTTTCTCATGAAAGTGGTCTCAGTGGCTCATTAGCCACTGGATCTCCTTCAGTAGTGGCAGGAGGGGACAACTCCCCCTCCCGTTGGGGTTTCCCGGGTGTGGCCGGCTGGTCACAGAGGCAATGAGAAACTTGATCGTCTCTGATCACCTCTATGGCCTTTAAGGACCAGAGCGACGTCATGATGTCACTTCCAGTCCAGGGTGAAACACATGTATGAGTTTTGTATAGAATGTTTGATATAGATCGTATGTTAGGCTGCACTGGTTATTATAATTTACATATGAGACATCACATACATGAGATTTTATAATTTATGTATTGGATTCTAGCCCTTGCTGCCATTTGTAAAATGAATGTACTAAAAATGGTAATTTTAAATGTATGGATAGTGCCATTGCTGACTTTTTAAAGGTGCAAACTTTGCAGGTATTATCCTTGCTTTTTTGTTTTGGATAGAGTAGAGAAGGGTTAATATCTCTCTTGGGTTCTTTTTTAGTGCCTGTGTTCTGCTGGGGAGATTTCTCTTCAGTTTATGTCCTGCAAACGTAGCAGGAAAAGACAGGAAATCACACAGGAAATGAGGGGAATTCATAGACAGTTGCTACTGGAACATTTGTCCCTGTTGAATGAAGGCGGACCCCACTTGTTCTCATGAATTGAAAAAATTTGAGCACACTTTAATTTTTTCAGACTAGGCATATATTAAGTTATAACCATTATATATACCCAATGAGGTGAGTAGCCTTAGGTGATACACAGATTAAACAAATCCTCCTACATAAGTTGTACCTGTCTATCTGCAGTATTTCTCTTCTCTACATCTGTTCAGAGTGCTGAATTTATAAAAAAAAAATGGTCTGGAAAGCCAAAATTACACTCTGCAGAACTCACTGAGAGCTGATTATAGGGAAGAGACACACACCCCTCCACACAGGAACATAGCTGAGGCTGTCAATCTGCTGGAGGTCCCTCTCCGTCACCCATTTTTCTCTTGGTGTCAGGAAAACCTGATCAGAAGTGATTCATGCTAATAGCAGAGAAACTAAACAGCAAACGACACAAAATGAAACTTAGTGCTCTTAATTGAAATACACTCAAGAGCACAGGTGTCAAACTGGCGGCCCTCCAGCTGTTGCCAAACTATAAGTCCCATGAGGCATAGCAAGATTGACAGTTACAAACATGACTTCCAAAGGTACAGGCATGATGTGATTTGTAGTTTGGCAACAGCTGGAGGGCCACCAGTTTGACACCCCTGCACTAGAGGGATAGGATTTGTTCATATTTCATGTCTGAGGTTTAGAGCCCTGGCCAAACATTTTGAAAATGACACAAATATTAATTTACCTGCAAGGAAACGTGCAGTCATCATTGCTTTGCGCAAAAAGGGATTCACAGGCAAGGATATTACTGTTACCAATATCAACCATTTATTAGATCATCAAGAACTTCATGCAGAGAGGTTAAATTGCTGTGAAGAAGGCTTCAGGGTGCCCAAGTAAGTCCAGGAAGCGCCAGGACCGTCTCCTAAAGTTGATTTAGCTGTGAGGTCAGGACACCACCAGTGCAGAGCTTGCTCAGGAATGGCAGCAGGCAGGTGTGAGTGCATCTGCATACACAGAGAGGTGAAGGCTTTTGGAGGATGGCCTGGTGTTAAGAAGGGCAGCAAAGAAGCCACTTTTCTCCAGGAAAAACATCAGGGACAGACTGATATTCTGCAACAGGTACAGGGATTGGACTGCTGAGGACTGGGGTAAAGTCATTTTCTCTGATGAATCCCCTGATCGTTTGGGGCATCAGAAAAAAAAAAAAAAACCTTGTCCAGAGAAGAAAAGGTACCATCAGTCCTGTGTCTTGGCAACAGTAAAGCATCCTGAGACCATTCATATGTGGGGTTGCTTCTCAGCCAAGGGAGTGGGCTCACTGACAATTTTGCCTAAGAACACAGCCATGAATAAAGAATGGTACAAAAACATCCTCCGAGAGCAACTTCTCTCAACCATCCAAGAACAGTTTGGTGACGAACAATGCCTTTCCCAGCATGATGGAGCACATTGCAATAAAGGCAAAAGTGATAACTAAGTGGCTTGGGGAACAAAACATCAACATTTTGGGTCCATGACCAAGAAACTCCCCAGATCTTAATCCCATCGAGAACTTGTGGTCAATCCTCAAGAGGCAGGTGAACAAAAAAACCCACCACAAATTCTGACAAACTCCAAGCACTGATTATGCAAGAATGGGCTGCCATCAGTCAGGATGTGGCCCATAAGTTGATTGACAGCATGCCAGGGCGAATTGCAGAGGTCTTGAAAAAGAAGGGTCAACACTGCAAATATTGACTATGTACAATCTGTTGCATTTATGTATTATTATGTGTATTAACATGCTGTGCAGTACGGCAGTCCATTAAAAGAATGGTCTGCCAAGGCACTGGAAGAAACAAAAACTGATAGCATTTTAGCAATGTAGCACATCAAAACATACTATAGTATGTTACAATGTGATTTGATGGCCTACACCACAAGTGCATTGGGGTGCTGTCAGGGAGCGAGGAGCCAGACACACAAGGAGGTGCAATTAAAGGTAGGTTTATTGTACAAAAACAAGACAGAGTCTATGCAAGTCCAACAGCAACAACGGATGACTTGGTAGGACAGAAGCCAGGAAGGATGGTCGCCAGAGCCGGGGTCAGAAGCCAGGAAGGATGGTCGCCAGAGCCGGGGTCAGAAGCCAGGAAGGATGGTCGCCAGAGCCGGGGTCAGAAGCCAGGAAGGATGATCGCCAGAGCCGGGGTCAGAAGCCAGGAAGGATGGTCGCCAGAGCCGGGGTCAGAAGCCAGGAAGGATGGTCGCC